AAAAAACCCCCCCACAATCCATCAAAAAGAAATATTAGTGCTTAGAAAGTTTTGGTTTTGCACATTCAATAAAGGATAATCATGCAGGACCTAAGAAATGTCATTTGACCTCGAGAGTTCTAGAAAATTTATATTTTAAGAAAAGAACATCAATTTACTCTGTTTAAATATAATTTCAGACTTCTAGAGCACCAACCTAACCTTCAAAACAGATTTCCTGTAGATAGAATATTCTCTAAAACAAATCAAAGCCAATAGTAGAAATTAGCTCCAATTTGTGCAATGAAGGGAAATGGAAAATGCCATAGAAAAAAAAATTACACTGATGCTCAACGCTTAATCTTGGGCAAGTAAATATGAACAAAGATTTTCAAGCCAATGCACAGATAGCAAGAAACCTACCACTTAATACAGAAGTGAGCCTGCCTAGATCAGGTAAATGCATGTGCTGAATGAGAGGAAGCTCAAGACAATCAATTCCATGTCTGGCCTGTAACCAAGAAAGGAGGGAAAACATAATTATTGAAGATGCTACATTTACTACTTCCTAGAGAGACATCCATGCTAAAAAGTCGTTTGCCCCACATTTATCAAGTCTAGATCACCAGGACCTTTGGTGTTAGAAATTTGGTCTGATTAAAAAGTTGTTTGCCCCACCTTCTCTCGCTCATGACGATTTCTTAATTTTTTTTTACGGATACATTGTTTTTCTACTTCATTTAAATCATTTCTATCTATCTCACAAGGAGATAACCAATTCGAGAAATTCTTTTGAAATTTCTATCACTCATTTGCCTTTTCTTTTCCCCAAATAGAAAGCAAACAAAAAGGTATTGCAGGCCATTCATGAACATGTGCGTTTGATATGGCAGAAAAACATTTTCCGAAAAATAAGTCATTTTTGAAAAATACTTTCCGGTGTTTGGTAGAGTGGAAAATATCTTCTGCAAAAAATATTCGTAAAGATTGATAATAGTGCTATCAAATCGGATAACGCTTCATGAAATTTCTGAGTAATAAAGATTGATAATAATGTCTAAGTAATATTGAAGCATTGATATGAAGTTAAGAGCTGAAATTACGCCTCTTTCTGGCAAGAAAACACCAGAAAATGAATTATTCTTCAAATTCTTTTGAACAATATTTCCTTCATACCAAACACACCAAATTGTAAATCCAGAATGCATCCTTTCGATTCTATGCTCTATGCTCTGCACATGATTCTATGCTCTTCACCACATCCTTCCGATGACTGTGATGAATCAAGTTTATGAACACGCTCTCTTCTAAGCTATGCCTAGTCCCTCATGGAACCTCTAAACCAAACTCCTCTTGATTTTTAGACTAATTTGCAGTTTTTTTCTTTTCAACAGGCTAATTTGCAGTTCACTGTTTCCTTTCACCACTCTATCGTACTCATCCTAGAAATGCAAGTGATCAGCAGCTAAACAGTTTAATTTGTTTAAGCATTTGATCAAACATCTAATGTGTCACTTCCTTTATCCCAATGTAGCTACGGAAAACATACAAAAACATAGCCTGCGCAAAAAAATTATATCTCGCAACACTCACTAACCCTAGAACTTCAACATTATTCATGAGAACCAAATTTAAACTGAAAAGAATAAAAAAAAAGCATATAACCGGAAAGTTGAAATTCTTATTGAGTACCAGAGAATTCATGAGCTTGCCGTTCTTGCCGCGTTCTCTGGTGACAACAACTTTCGGCTGCTTCGAACACGACGCGGAAACCGAAGAAAGTGAAACACACGCGCCGACTCTGAAAGAACGACGAAAGCAACTCCGCCGCTGCTGCGAGGTGGAAGAAGACGACGTCAACGGAGGAGGAGAGGAGGATGAGAGAGAAAGCTTCGACATTTTGTGAACGTGTTGCTCTGACGACTGCCAGCTGTAAGCCTGTAACCGATTTTAAACCGCAACTTTTCTTCAGTAATCAGAAAAGGTTTAATTTAATTGGAGTATTTGATTAGTACTTAGTACTATTGAGTAACAGTAGTGGTTTTTCTGGACACATGGCACATCTGAAAGGATAAGAATTGTGCTTATGACACGTGTACAACAAGTAGGGCCCACCATCCGCTGGGACCTACCGACCATTATAGGCAATGATGGTATTCTACTTTACTGTTATCATCAGCTGCTCTATGGAGATAATGAAAGCTTGAATTTAGACCGTAGATTGAAGTGAAGGAATGTGAAACATCTTATCCGACGGTTAATATCAGGATTTGGTTTAGATTAAGGTGTGAGTAAATACTGGTGAAAATATTGGTTAGGATCTCAGGTGTGTGCCCCAAGATGCAACAGATCTGAATTTGGCTCCTTGTTCTCAAAGAACACGCAAAGCAAAATTAAAGTAGGGTCTCTTACTAATAATGTGGGGGCATTCATTAGTAATTAAGGATTAAAATAAAGTAATTAGAGTACTCTTTTCCTCTTTTAGTGAGGCAAAATTTAAGTTTAGAATTATATAATCTTGCTTATCATATCACAGAATCACTCCGAATCCGTCTAGTATATTTTTTCGGTCCAGCTTTTCATAAATGTAACCCACACAAAATTACATATTGGCCCTCCAATTGATCTTTTTTCGTTCATTGCTTTTTCTTATTTCATTATTATTCCTATTTTCTTTTTCGATTTTCCATCTCGCATTGGGGTAAAATTCATAATTAATCGCTTTTAAGTTCTAAAATCGAAAATAGCCATTGTCAAGAGTTTCATCTATTTTTCAATTACAGGGCTGAAAACTGGTTAATGAACGGTATTACTATTTGACATTGGAGCCTAATTAAGGCCTATTAAAAGGAAAAGCACTCACAAAAATTTTAAAATTATGGATGTATGGACCTTTTAAGGACCGCTACTTGAATTTTAACACCGTTAAGAAAAATCTTGGAAAATAGCATCGGACTAAGATTTTGAAGCACACGAGTCAGAAGTTTGAAGCACTAGAAATTCAGCCAAATGTTCAAACAATTCTGGTGTTTCGTGAGGATTTGTGACAAAATCCTAATGATCACCAGATTTTTCCCAGCATTTATGACTGAAAATTCTAGTGATCTTCAGAAATTTGCCATAAATCTTGACAATCACCATAACTCTAAAATTCTGGCAAGCATACTTTAAAATCTTACTTTTAGGTTATTTTCCTAACACTCTGTTTGGAAAATTGTTCTCTGTCGTTTTATAATGTATTGTATTATATGGTATTGTATCGTATCATTTTATGAATATAATGTTTGGATAGATTATATTATTTGTTATCGTTAAATAATATTTTATTGTTTGGTTTGACTGTATCGTATTATACTGTAACTTATAAGTTTACTAAAATACCCTCAACTGTTTAAATATTAAATTTATCAAAAAAAATGCATAAAAATAATTTTAAAAAACAAAACAGAAGAAGGCAAACCACCTTAAGAAAGCAGAACAAAGGAGCGAGACAAAAGAAGGCAAAACAAAGGATCATAGCTAATTAGAATTAAGTTAAAAGCAAATTAGAAGAAAAAATTAAAGAGAAGGCGGCCTTTAACGTTGTCGGCAAAAGTTCTGGAAAAATACAAAGTAGCTTATAGGTTGGAGATTTGGAGTTAAAATAGAAAGAAAAAAAAGGGTAAAATGGAATTGTGGAGTAATAAGTTAGGGCATAATTGGTAAGAATATTAGAAAACAATCCCACCACACCAAATCGGTTGTTTAAAAAAAGAGGACTTTTCATTGTTCCGGAACAATTAATTTAACAATACAATATAACCAATTTTAATGAAACAATCAAAACAAACATTGTCTTGAAATAACAATACAATGCGATACAATGGGGAACAACCATCCAAACAAGCTGTAAAACTTATATTATTGGGGTCAAAAATCATCACTGACACAAAAATATCTTATTTGTGTCCTTATCCTACAAACATTCTACATTTATAGGGCTCAAACTCGAAACCTCTTATTAAGAGAACATGATCTTATTCAACCTGCTAAAACTCTTGATGTCCTTATACATCTTTTCAATACGGATACAGTGCAGACCGAAATAAGTTGTCATGTCCTTAGTCTTTGACTAAGTACACATGCGACACTTGACAACTCGCTCGCAATTTTGCACAACTTGCACATATTTTTGCTATGCCAAGTCAGCCTTACTACACTAAATATCGCTAAGGAAATGTTAGAACACAAGAGAATTGTCAAAGGAAGCTTTTGTGTTAGAGAGAACTTGATTGTTTTGCTTGGTGATTTACAAATGAATATCCCCTTTATATACTAGTCTCCTAGGGGTTAGTGAGTAAATAAAAATTATTACACAAGTCATTTATAATTTACAAGTAAGTTCTTTCTCGAGAATTTTCTACATAGCTGGAATCTTCTAAGGACTTTACTAGCAATACCATAGAGTTCTAAGGTCTTCCATGAGAAATCTCTATATTTCTCTAGAACCTTCCCACATGTGCTAGTTTATTTATGTGTAAGCTTTTCATATGTCATTAATATATGCCAAATGACATTTACGTGGCATGATAATGTGGGGGATCATGACAGAGTATACGATATAATGAAATTCAACACTCATGTGATGTAATATAAAGTTTATAAGCTTTTTGTTTCTTCTTTTTTATTTGACTCATAATTGCGACAACTGTTTCTCATTAACTTTACCTACTACTATACGACTCAAATCTCCTAACTTATGAATCGGTGATGGTATTAGTCTATTAGAGCAATCTAATTTGCTAAGCAATAAACTACATAAATAAATTGTTATCACTGAAAAGTAGTACTATTGTTTTCTTCGTTCACAGAATATAAACTATATAATTTTTAACATTAAAAAAATAACTGTAAAAAACTGTAGCCATTAAAAAAGTAACTGTAAAAAACTGTAGCCCAACCAAGGTGGATGGGCATTTCGGGTGTGCCGCCAAGTAATTGTCAAATTCTCAATTGCACTGCTAACGCACCCATTGTGGGTGTGCATATTTTTATCACCAGAATTCATGGCAAACACACCCTTGGCGGGTGTTGTTTCATGATACCACATTGTGGTGCCACTTAGTGCGTTGGATCTGATAATATATCGGGCAATTCAATATTAAATAATCGGTGTGGTATATTATTCAGCGGCCTTTTACTTTTTGGTAAACATTTAGAGCCAGTTTGGATTAGCTAATTTGGAGTAGCTGATAAGCATTAGGTGTTAAAAAGTACTTTTAAGTGATGAAACTAATTTAATAAATAAGCAGTTACGTGTTTGGGTACAAGTGCTGAAATTGATAATAAGTTGCTGCAGTATTTGATAAAAAAGAGCCGATAAACTCTTTTTCTATTTAAATGACTTAAATAACCTTAGAACTGTTTACACTTATAAGGGCGTAATTTCTTCAAAATTTTAGATTTCAATCGATTCAAATACAAAATATTCTATTTGTCATTTTATTTTAAATACAACTATGCTTTGATAAGATAATTTTTATGATAAATATAATTTATTTTATGATAAGCATATAATCAAAAATTATAATAATTAATAAACTGACAAAAGTTTCTCAGTAAAAAATAAACCTAAATAGGACAAATTATTTGAAGAGAAACAAATATTGTCTTCGTCACCACAACAATTAGAAAGCAATGCACCAAAAATTTGATATGTCCTCATTTATTATATACAGTTCAAAGATTAATACACAATCACATAGATATAAGTATGCAAAGGAATAGAGAATTTGCTTATCTTAAATAGTCAATGAGAATTGCAGACTTGAAGAGGTGGGGGGAGGGGAGAGGGGGGGAGGTTAGGTTGAATGCTTGAGGCAGTGAGTATCGATGTAGGAGTTTTGTTCTAAAAAGAAATATTTTAAGGGTAAAATTGTAAAAATCTTGGTCAAACTTAAAGTGCTTATAAGCTAAAAATTCATAAGCTGGGGGTGACCAGCTTATGACTTTTGACTTATTTTTGACTTATAAGAACGCGTAGATAAGCCGAAAAGTGCTTATAAGCTAGTTTGGCCAGCTTATAAGCTTAGTCAAACACCCTCTTATTTAGTTTTCACTGTTTCCTTATTCGTTGCACACCAACTCCTCTCATCCGTGTCATATTTTTTGGTTTCTCGTTCGGTGTCCAATACCCGTTTTAAGTTCGACTAATTTGAATTTGTATCAGGAAGTCCCACTTTAGAGGTAAAGTCCTCCTAAGAGACTCCGTTCCTAAAGCTCAAATCTCCAACCTTTAATAAAATATGAAGGAGTACTTATCGTTTTACGACAAACTTTAATGGTCATCCGCACTGTATACTTGTGCTTATTCTATTTTGCTCCTTTTAAACTTGTGCGCAAGCCCTAAACATATTTGATAAGTGAAGTTGGTTGAAGACAATACTAAATATACTTGCTAGAATAGAAGCAAGAAAATAAGCATTACTTAGCTCTAGTTAATTTGTTTCAAACCAATCATTCATATCTCCTCCATCCGTGGTTATTCTTGGAACCTATGACTTTTGGCTCAACTTCTATATATAGACGTGTGTAATAAAACACACAATAAGTGCAAAACACTACCAATTAAAGCTCAACACAAGTAAAGTGCAATGAATTAGAGTGCAATAATCGACTAAAATACGTAATTATAGCCTACCATCAGTACACTTACCCCACATAGTACTTTCAATAAAGCATCCTTATGACTGTCAGAACTCATTAATAGATCCCTGATAGATATCTGTGCAGGAGTTTTCTTTAAATGTTCTTCCACGGAATACTCTTTACTCGACATCCTTTTCCGAAATTCAGCGGCTTCTGGGTCTGTTATGTTCCTCCTTGGAATTTATTCTCTCCTTGGATTTCCTCGATTGACATCTTCAGGGGCATAGAACCTCCCAGACCTAGTCATACCATGAGCTGCGACAGAGTCTGTCATTTTGGCCTTTCCCTTTTTCCAATAGGTCCATGAGATGGCT